CTTAGACAGTCCCCCCCAAAAAATGCAACTTACAGCACACCTGCAGAACATGGAGATGGCCCACCATACCAGTCTAATGGATGAGGCATAAGCTTAGCTACCCTTTAAGTCAAGTCCTCAGAACTCACTTGTTCCAAGAAGGAACTGTTATTATTATGCTGAAACTTCTATCCATGTTAAAAGGCTTTATCCTAGCCTCCCTTTAAACTAAAATAGATGCTGATAGTACCACTTCATTTGAATCAACTAACAGTAATAAAAATTTGGCAAGAATGGTAGTGATGAAAAAAGCTATGCAGCAATAGAGGAAAGTAGTAAAAAAATTTCAAATTATAGAAATACGGGACAATGAGCTTTAATTAATTGTCAGGGGATAACAAGCAGGAACAGTATGCTTATCAAGCAAAGGATATACAGAAATCAATCAGAGAAGTACCTTTATATCAAAGGTTGACCCTGCAGAGAAACGGAAAATAACTTTGAAGTATTTCAGATCATATCACATTCTCTCAGCAGCACCACCCCCTGAAATGCCCATAGGGAATTCTGTGAATTGTTTCCCCAGATGCCTTGCACACCAGCTGGTTAGGATTAAACATCTTGCCTGCGGCACCTTTTAGGCCTTGAGGCCTGGTATTTCTGACAAGGTGATGAACAGTGTACAACTGTGTATACCCCATATGTTTAAGGTAATCTAGAGTGCCAGAAACACTGCTAAATCCATGTACAGTAGTGCTAAGGGTTAGAAGAAAGCTAGAACACCTATTCTTCAAGCTTGAGAGTTACAGCTCTAGAATGTCCTTTCTTTACAACAATATATTCATAAAATATGCAAGAGTTAAATGCTAAGATTTTCCTATGCCTCTGATTTTCTGTTATTTTAACACATTTAGTGCATACGAATCACAAGCCTACTTGCAGAATGCCAAGTGCTAGCAAGCCTTTCACATCACATAACAAAGATGACCAGAACTTTGCAATTACAGCATTTGTACAATGGATGCAGTCAGACACCAACCTTGATGCGAGCAACACTATGCAAGTGAAGGGAAGTACCTCCCCTAGAGGAACACCCCCCCCCCCCCCCGCAACAACCCTAAATAAACACCATTTTGTTTTCACTTGCACTGTAAGATGAAGTCTTCATGGTAGAGTTCTGTCTAGATTTCAAAATATATGTGTGGATTAAGCCAACAGTTTATTCCGAAGTTGTGTTTTTCCAGAACCTGGCTTTAAGTGCCCTGTCCAGATGAACAAATTCCTGTTTGAAGCACCTTTTTTTGTTCATCTTTAACATACAGACCATGTAGGTTCTTTCATTATCTGATCCAAAGTACTTTGGACTTTCTAATCCATGGAGAGCGGCTTCAACTATGTTGAAAGGTAGCAAATTCCCCTCTGACAAGAAATTAGTGTTTCAGCCAAAAACACATGGCAACTTCTGAATTTTGGATAAAAACATAAGCCTCAAACTTCAATTACAACATAACCTCTGAAAAAGAGGAAAGATCTCCTTGAATACAATAGCTATCAGCTGCAGTACTTTTAATGCTGTTTAAGAGTTGCCATCAGAACACCAACTTGTTTTGCACATATGCTACTGTTTAAGGTGTTAAAGATTAAATAGATGATTAATTTCAAGACAAGTCTTCCAAGAATGCTTCTCATTCTGCAAAATACATTTTTCTGACACGTACAGAAACCTGGGGCATGAAAATGTGGTTTCCTGCACATTCATACTTAGTACCTGGTAATAACCAAAAATAGCAGTTTTCTGTTATCAGCTTTATTGTTGCATCCTTCAAAAAATCTGCAGGAACATTTTAAGAAACAAGAAAAGGTGTACAGCAACCTTATCCATAATTAAATGTAGTGATACATCTTGGTCATAATGAAAATGTATCCTGTCGAAATGAGTTTACTGCTTGTACACTGCATTAAGAGAATTCCTGTATACAGTAAGAAAAGATTTAATAAAAAAGATGCCAAAGTTGACTTATACAGTCCTAGAAGAAATAATTCTCCAGCTCTTTATAGCAGTATGTAAAAACCTGCTCCCAATATCACCTTCAGGCACAGAGTTGAACACACTAACTTCTAACTTTTCTAGGGCTGCTATTTAGAATTTAAATCGGTATTACTGAACCCTGGACCTACAGTACAAGTTGGGATTTTGTTTCTTTTTCTTTTGTTTTGTTGGGATTTTGTTTCTTTTTTTTTGGGGGGGGGGTTTTTTTGGTGGCTTTTTCTGGGATTTGTTTGGTGGTTGTTTTTTTTTTGGGGGGTGGGTTGTTTTGGTTTTTTGGGGGGACAGGGTATGGATTTTTTGGGTTTGTTTTTTTTTTTTTTTTTTTGTTTGTTTGGTTTTTTTTTTAACCTACCTGAAATATTTTCCTCCATTTACAGAAATGACACAAGGATCTCACAGTCAAATGAAGTAGGTAAAACAACTGTGGCTTGATCTGTGAACCATGATTAAGTGCACAAAATCAGCTGCATTACTTTTAACACTGCAGTGAGTAAATTCTGGATGTATGAGAAAAGAGGTATATTCTGCTTTCTATGAGAAAATACACTGTCATGGCAGAACACGCAATTATGCAACTTCTGGTGGTATCTTAAGAGTTGATGCCTGCTCCAAATGTAATTCATACTTGGTTAAAGACTAGGAAACTTTTGGATGAAGCGTCAGATTAGCTGAATAATAAAGCCATAAATGAACTTCTGATTGCTTGGTAACTTCTCCCTGCCCAACTCCTTGGAAAAAAAACCAAACACCAAAAAACAACCAACCAAACAACAGCCTAACCCTCTAGGTGCTCTCTCAGCACATTACAAACAATTCCAGCTAAGAGTGTTCTCTTCATTAATCTCTTCTAGTTCTTCTTTACAAGATCTATGTAAGGCAACCTACCAAGATACACAACATGAAATTACAGTACATGAGTTCACAATTAAGTACATCAAGTAACAGTGGCTTTTAATGGAAACTCTCCCTTTGCTTGCTTTTATCCAATAAATGAATCAACTGAGCATCTGTTAACTTTCTGCATTTCACCAGAACAGGAAACACAATGATAGGAAGAGAGTAAAGAAATAAGTAAATCAAGTGTCATGCCCTGCTGTCTGGCTAGCGATTATATATAAAATACAAGCCCCTATTAATATAAAGTAAATCTACACAAACTCTAGACTGGAAGTGTGATGTCTTGAAACTAAGAAGTGGGGACTTCAAGTTGTCAAGCTAGATTTGAAAATTTGTATTTACAAAGACAATACTTCAGATTAAATGTTTTAGTGCAAAACAGCAGTCATGTTGTTACTCCTATGAGCCAAAAGGTTAAGAGTACACATTCAACACACAGCAGCACCAGACAAGAAGTAACTGATACTCTTAAACATCCCCAGCTCTAACCTCTCTACCCGTACCAACCTAAACAGGGATCCCTGGGACACCAGGAGGTTTGGCTGGTGCAGTAGTTAGATACCAACATATGTAAAGAGATTGGGTGAGATGACCACTTAGCAGTGTTATTAAATGATATGAACTGATAGCCCTACAGCAGAAACAGCTTGCCTGTTAATAACTCCTTTGATATAAGGAAGATTCCATATGCAATGCTTAGTTTTGTCAGTGACCACATAATATTCTATCCAGTTTTGTTTTTACAATTTATAAAAAGGGCTAGAAATTAGACCGAACTGAATTGCAAGTTTAAACAAAACAAATCTCAGGTTGGGGGCAGGGGTGTCATTCTTGTATAGAGGGCATTGTTCCTTAGAAAGGAAGCACCGAGCGTACCATGCAGTACGAAAACAATTACTTTGTTAATATGCAGATTCAGTGGAGCCAAATTTGAGCCTTTTACTAACAATAGTGCCTGGTATCATTAGACAAAGGAATATCTGCAGTCAAGGCAGTATGTTATAAAAATAACTCTGCAACCAAACACAGGGACTTATATTTATCCACAATTAGATTACATTTAACAGTGAAAGGGCCTCATTTAGCAGTGGAAGAGCTTGTTATTTAAAGTGTGGCATTTGAAGCATCAACACCTGGTTTGAGTTACCTCAAAAGTTAAACAAGAGGTATCTAGCAACTGTGATCTATTTAGTAGACTAAACAGCCTTTGTAAACTACCACATCTGATAGAATGCTAGACTTTTATTTTAATATAAAGTGTGATATGCATTTCACAAGTGACATCTGGTTAATCGTGGCTGACTCATCTATCCAAATTTTGTCTTTTACAATTATTTCTCTCTCATTCTTCCACTCTAAATATGGGTCCTCCTCCACACTGGGCACTGCTCAGTGGACACAAGGATATTATTGAAAGCTACTTTTTAATGACAAGGCTATTTCTAGCTTTTCCACCTTCTTCCAGTTTGTCCACAAACTTCCAGTTTGTTCATGCTTACTAAGAAACACCATAACCTTATTGCATAGGAGAGGCAATACTTCAGAAAGCAGGAATCACTCGTTTTGACTTTTCCTGACCTTTGCTGTACACACTGAATCAAACATAACATGTATATTAGTTGCAACACAGCTCAGTATTGCATGAAGCTTGAAATTATAGCTCAAAACCTGGGTGGATATATCAAAACCAACCAGTTGTACTGGATATGAAATTTTTAAGATGTCTTCCACCCTGCAGTTATAAAGAACAAGGACAATACTGCTCTTGATAAAATAATTACTGGAAATAAGAAAACAAAATAATTTTGTGTCTCATTTTTCATTTTGTGTCAGGCACTCATAAAAAGCAACAGAGCTGCAAGGAGCCAAGAGACTCTTTTGGAAGTTTCGAACACCTAGCTGTTAGCCCTAATGACACGCAAACATTGATATTTTATGTTCAGTGCTGCTGCTTCACTCCACTCCGGACACTTCCTTTGGAGAAAGTAATTACTTGCATGATTTGCCAATACCACAGCCACAAGCTTCACTTCCATTTAAACAAATAGGTCTAATAAGTAAGAAACAAACTTACTACTCTGTTTCCTGAGGATCGAAGTGTTGCTCTAACATTAGAGGTGTTCCTTGGGTTGGCTGGAGTTGCCAATGGAAGAGTATTAGAAACTTGAGGAGGACTGAAAGACATCAAAGGCAATCTGGTATCTCCAAATACACATTGCTTGGAACTAGAATTTTTAGTAGTGAACCTCTCATTTTTACCATTTCCTGAATCTCCACTACCAATCTCTGTTTTTTCCTCATTCTTGATTCTTCTCAAGCAGTCCTTTAGTGTCATCTGAGTTGCAGGCTGACTCAACCAGCACAAAAAGAGTTCATCCACCTTCATTTTCAGTACAGGTTGCAGAACTTTCCCAGGTGACATTTTCTACCAACTTCTCTTTTTGTTGGATCAAGTTCAAAATAAAGGTTTGACAGTGATCTACTTATTCCACTTGACTTCCAGTGTTGCACATACTCCAATGTTCCTGTTAAGAAAAACACTATCATTTAATCTTACAGTTTTAAGTTTTTAAGATTTACAGAGTTGATATTTATTCCCTCAACTTATCAACAGGAGTCAAGATACACACTAATATGTGACTACAACAGCATTTTGTAAGCATAAGCCATTAATCAATCAGAGTCAAATCCAGAGGATTTTTTCTTTTAAAAACATAGTGTGTAAATCAGAGACTGGAGAGAAAGAAACTGCACTCAGACTTATGTCTGAGTTATCCAACGAACATTCTCCAAGAACATGTGTTAAAAAACTACAGTTATTATGACAGATGGCCACAAAGACACTTATAATTGAGCCTGCTAAGAACTAAATGCCTAACTAGTTTATGCAAAGCCTTGGTGACAGTACAATTGAGATTTAAGACGCAAGCCTTTCAGTCAAGAGACTGAGAGCTAAGACTGAAGGCTTAATTTTCATTCTGAAGGCCGTGCTTCTGATTTAAAATCTTGCATTGCATATTGCAGCACAAGATGCATTCCCACATGAGTGATATCTAGCTGAATTCCTGAGATCCTTCCTCAGAATTTGATTTGCCTGCCCACTTGCTATCACACAGTCATTTGATATTTTAAGAACTGATCTATCTGACATTCACTTTTACAGTCTTTTAAAGTCAATGTGAAACCCGATGCAACACAAGAATTGGGCTGGTACAATTTCAGGTTCACTTGCTCACCTGAAACAAAGAGAATACATATTGTTTTAGAGAGACAGAGAACTGGAGCTGAGTACTAAGGACAGAACCCAAGTTACTATCATAATCTCTGCAATCAAATTACTTAGTGACCTGTGCAGTTTAACTAAACCCTGTTCTTCCTCCTTTTTTTTTTTTTTTTTAAGACTTTATCAATATTTGATCCATATGTAGAAGGCAGCAAAGATCACAGAATCATTAGGGTTGGGAGGAACCTCTGGAGATCATCTGGTCCAACCCCACTGCAAAGGCAGGGCCACCTAAAGCAGGTTACATCGGACCACATCCAGGCGGGTTTTGAATGTCTCCAGAGGGAGACTCCACAACCCCCCTGGGCAGCCTGTTCCAGTGCTCTGCCACCCTCAACATAAAGTTCATCCTCACGTTGAGGTGAAACTTCTTGTAGTTTAGTTTATGGCCACAGATACACAACTAAGAAGCCTTAAAATGAGCAACTGAATTTGGAAATGAGTAACACTAGCAAATGAATGTCCTGTTAAATCAATGTATATTAAAACCAAAGCTCAGCCTTCATCCCATGGCAGAGCTCTAAGTCTTGTAATACCGCACCAGTTAGATTTTTTAAAACCTTTATGTTTAATAACTTAACAGTCAAGTTAGTCTGTTGCTTCACTAGTTTTTCAGATCAGCGCTTTCACAGCACTCACGGCTGTGCTAGAGAGCCTCAGGCAGCGTCTACCTGGGCCAGAAGGCAAAGGGTGCCCTCCGGCACTAGCGGGCACCTCCCGGGCGGCCCGCGAGCAGAAAGGCCTCCCGCGAGCTACACAAAAGGGGAGGGCACAGAGCCAGGCGCGGGGTGGCACCGACCACCCCCGTCGCCGCGGACCGGACAGGTCGGGGGGAAGGTGGGAGGGGAGCAG